TTTCTCAGGTGTTCAAATACTTATGTTCAGCAGTGCAAGACAAATAAATTCTTTAAAAATCATACAATGTGATTTCCTGAAATTTTTTTTTTATTCTGTCTCTCAGAGTGGGAATGCACCTACAATGTGAATTTCAGACCCCTCCATGATTTCTAAGTGGGAGAACTTCGCAGGGTGTTCAAATACTTCTGTTCCTCACTGTAACTACGTATTGTAGTGGCTGACACAGGTGAGCCAGAGTCATCCTGAGCCCATGGGAAGAGAGACGATTCTTGATGTGGTGGCATCTGAGGGATCGGAGAGCTCGGTCATCCAGCTGAGCCTCGGCCCTCGGCCTTTATGCGCTGAAATCCCTCCAGATTCCTTGAATCTTTTAATGATGTTCTGCACCGTAGAGGGTGACAGATCCAAATCCTTTTTGATCTGGTTGGATGTTTGTGTTGTTATATATATATTTTTAATTGACATGTATGTTTTGTAAATCAGGTTTAGTTGTGCTTTGTTCCTATGTCAAAATCAGATTTGATTGATGGGGTGATGGACATTTTTATCAACTGAGTAATCAAGCATTAAAACAATTGCCAGTTTCAGCCCTAGTTCTCCTATATTTATTGTTCCTGTTAACTTTGATAATAGAATCCATTATTTATCTGTGAATTATCACCAAACCTGAGGGATACTTGCCTAAACTGTTTAGTAATATTTTGTGATTGTTATATATGGATGTTGTTCAAATACTGGGCAAAGACTTAAAAAAATCCAGTGTCAAACTTTAATTCTTATACCCCTTTGCTCCTCTTTTTTACCAGGTTGCCATGGAGATGCTGTTCACAGGAGCTCCCATCTCAGCCCATGATGCTTTGCTGCACGGTCTGGTCAGTAAGGTGGTGCCTGAAGAGCGACTGGAGGAGGAGACGTTAGCCATCGCCCAGCGGGTGTGTCAGGCTAGCCGACCAGTTGTAGCCCTCGGCAAGGCCATGTTCCAAAGGTGAGCGTTTTCAGAGCGCTGACACACTTTTCACCTTTTTCTTGGTAGTTGTAAGCGGTTTTTAATTCAATTTAAGGGTTGAATTTCACTTTAAATCAAACCTAATAATCAATAAACAGCATTTTGCCATCAAATAAACATTCTCACTCATTAGTTAAATATATTTTTTCAAATAAACGATTCTGTTAGTAGAAAGATCGGCTGCAATGTGCATGAGCTAAAGCTGTCAGGGGTTTAACAGACGTGTTTAAAACTTCTTTCACTTAGCTGGAATTAGAGAATATTTGATGGTAAATGTTGTAGATGCCACACTACAGCATTTAAATATGGAGTAGAAACAGATAGTTATCATTTACCATCATAATCAGGGCACCTCATGAAAACATTTTGAAAAATAGTCATTAATGCATTTGCATTTTCCTTCCCTTTCCTCTATAGACAAATGGCTCAGGGCCGAGACGCAGCATATGCCACTGCCTCTGAAGGGATGGTCGACAACCTGGCTCTGAGAGATGGACAGGAGGGAATCCGGGCCTTCATAGAGAAACGCAAGCCTGTGTGGAGCCATAAAGCAGAAAAAGCCTATGACTGATGAGCTGTTGGAGAGATCACGGCAATGATCCAGTAACTGTCCTGACTGGTGCACATGGTTTTCAGTCACTGGTGTGGGAAAATTAGCACCAGTCCTGAGTCAGTGTTTGGGCTACATAATAGTAGAGTTGTAAATTGCCAGGACTGAAGTTTGCATTATTCACATAATCTTTGCTGGAGATTTAATCTTTTTTCCTGAGACTAAAGACAAGCAGACAAGTGTTCCATAGAAGCTGCAGGGTGAAGCTGAGAAGGAAATACAGTGTTTGCACCCAGATGAATCATGGTGGCTGTGACATAACAGAATCATAAAGCTGAATAATGCTGGTACATGAACAGGTAGGAGTTATTTTAAATGTTTTATGGAAGTATAAAGGTCTGCATCATTTTCTACACACACTGACAGTTTATGCTCTGTGAATCCTTTCTGGTTTCCCTTGTTGTTGTTTGGATAAACCAGACAACTGAAGATGTCACCTTGGAGATCTTCAACATGTGACATTTTATAGACGAAACCACTAATGAATTTATCAAAAGGATCATCAACATTTTGTTGCTTTTTCAAAAATGACTGAGGACCTGAATAGCACCAAGTAAAGGAACTGATTGACCCAGTCAGAGAGGGGACAGGATAATCTGTGACACACTGATCATGTTTGACTGTGGCGCCTCCTGCTGGTGGAAAACAGATTTATCAGGCACTGAGAGAAGCAGTAAAGGCAGCACCGTCAGCAAGTTTAGAGTCCACAGACCAGCTCCCACGGGTCAGCGCTGCAGAGGAGACGGTGCCTTTAGAAGCTGTGTCAGTGTGTGAGAAGACACATCCTGGACAGGTTCAGCACCTGTCCAGGAAGTGTCACTGCAGAGAGAAGAAAACGAAGCAGCTGTCTCAGTGTTCATTGAGCAGCTCCTCACTACAAAAAGACAAAAATAAACCAAACTGAAATCCCAAAGGTGGCACTGTGGCCTCACAACAAGAAGGTTCTGGGTTTGAGCCCTGTGATAGACAAACATCCAGTCCACGGTGGACCCCGCCTCGCGCAATGTCAGCTGGGATTGGCTCCAGCCCCCCGTGACCCTCTTCAGGATAAGTGGTATAGGTAAAATCCAAAAGGATGTTCCTGAACAGCTGTTTGAAAAAACATGCTGAAGTCAAGGACATCAGTGTTCCTTTAACCAGAGGAGCTTTTAAAAATCTCAGAAAAGTTATTTATCAGGACCTGAGTAAGAGACGGGCCTGTTGAGGGGTGTTGCTGCGTGCTATGTACACAAAGGACCCCAAACTGAAGCAATGCATTGCCTGATACCTCCATAGCCTTCTCACGATTCTTCTTTGCTGTGTGTAAATGCTTCACCTTAAGAAAAACAAATATGGTTGATATCATGGAGGGGCGGCACAGCGGTGCAGTGGTAAGCACTGCTGCCTCACAGCAGGAAGATAATCCCCAGTAAAACGTTTGAGGACACGCTAACATTTCAAAAGCTACTCAGTTTGCAGCTCAGCATTTGAGAGCACTTATCTGTAAGTGTAGTTCTGGCCATGCATGTGTTTGTTTCTGAGTGTGCATTCAGGTTTTTCCACTGGGGGTTTTTTTTTTTTTGAAAGTCAGTTGTCACCAAAAGGTTAAAGTGCACAAAAGAAGAGCCAGGAGCCGGATTCTGTCGGAGGTTTCTTCTGTAAAGGGAGTTTTTCCACCCCACTCCTCTTTATGATACTGTAAGGTCTGGACCTTACTATGTAAAATGATTTGTGTTGTGAATTGGCGCCATACAAGCAAAACTTAATTCCACTGAATTGAAAAAGAATTGAGTTGATATGGTTTTACCGTGGGTGCTCCGGTTTTCTCCTACATTTGCTCAAAATCATCTATTAAAATGAATTAAATAACTCAGTTTTTCTGTTGTACTTTATTTTATTGTCCTAAATGTGTTTAAAGTTCTCTTGTATCAGTTTTTGTTATGTGAAAACCACCTGCATCAGCTTTTAAATTATAACCATGACCCAAAAGAGTTAGCAGATGAGTTAGTGTCAGCAGTGTTATGCTAAGATATGCTTGCAATACTCATTTACAGTACCCAGCTTATTAATAGGACTAACTCTCTTTAGAGGTCCCTTACTGTAACATACAGTGGGTACGGAAAGTATTCAGACCCCTTAAATGTTTCACTCTTTGTTATATTGCAGCCATATGCTAAAATCATTTAAGTTCATTTTTTTCCTCATTAATGTACACACAGCACCCCATATTGACAGAAAAACACAGAATTTTTGACATTTTTGCAGATTTATTAAAAAAGAAAAACTGAAATATCACATGGTCATAAGTATTCAGCCCCTTTGCTCAGTATTTAGTAGAAGCACCTTTGGAGCTAATACAGCCATGAGTCTTTTTAGGAATGATGCAACAAGTTTTTCACACCTGCATTTGGGGATCCTCTGCCATTCCTCCTTGCAGATCCTCTCCAGTTCTGTCAGGTTGGATGGTAAACGTTGGTGGACAGCCATTTTCAGGTCTCTCCAGAGATGCTCAATTGGGTTTAAGTCAGGGCTCTGGCTGGGCCATTCAAGAACAGTCACAGAGTTGTTGTAAAGCCACTCCTTCGTTATTTTAGCTGCGTGCTTAGGGTCATTGTCTTGTTGGAAGGTGAACCTTCGGCCCAGTCTGAGGTCCTGAGCACTCTGGAGAAGGTTTTCATCCAGGATATCCCTGTACTTGGCCGCATTCACCCTTCCCTCCATTGCAACCAGTCGTCCTGTCCCTGCAGCTGAAAAACACCCCCATAGCATGAGGCTGCCACCACCATGCTTCACTGTTGAGACTGTATTGGACAGGTGATGAGCAGTGCCTGGTTTTCTCCACACATACCGCTTAGAATTAAGGCCAAAAAGTTCTATCTTGATCTCATCAGACCAGAGAATCTTATTTCTCACCATCTTGGAGTCCTTCAGGTGTTTTTTAGCAAACTCCATGCAGGCTGTCATGTGTCTGGCACTGAGGAGAGGCTTCCGTCGGGCCACTCTGCCATAAAGCCCCGACTGGTGGAGGGCACCTTCCAACAAGACAATGACCCTAAGCACGCAGCTAAAATAACGAAGGAGTGGCTTCACAACAACTCCGTGACTGTTCTTGAATGGACCAGCCAGAGCCTTGACTTAAACCCAATTGAGCATCTCTGGAGAGACCTGAAAATGGCTGTCCACCAACGTTTACCATCCAACCTGACAGAACTGGAGAGGATCTGCAAGGAGGAATGGCAGAGGATCCCTGTCGTCATGGCGACTTTTCCTCATACACCCACGATTTTCCTGCGTGTGTTGGTTGGCTTGTTGGCAACCTTTGTGCTTCTTAGCGGGTTTCCATGGGACATTTTGGCGTTGTAGTACCTGTTGCTTGTGCTTACATGGCCCGTGTCCTAGACCAGTTTGACGTTAGTTGTCTTCTGTTATTTCCGCGTCAAATATTAGTAAATGTGAACGACATGAAAACCTAAAAAAGGGCATTTTCCACCACAGTGAGTCAGGTCTAGATGAAACAAAAACAAATAAAACACACACAACAGCCAAGCAAAGCCCAAAAATGTATCTAATGTTCCAGATGTTTCATGATTTTATTTATTTCTTTTGACATCAGCTCAAGACAAAACATGATTCAAAATTCGTTTTATTTAAACTAGTTTGGGTTATTTCTGCATTTAAAGGGCCCTATATGCAATATCAATAAAAGTAAAATAAAACTAGTAAAAACAAACAAACCTTAGAGCAGGTGTGCAGCAATAACAGAAAAGAAGTACTTGGCAAGGGCGTCTCTATGCATTGTTTAACAAAAATAAAATTAGTTCATTGTTAAAATAAAGCAATGACTAGAGAAACATGTCTGGAACAGGTTTAAGGAGCTAACTTAAAATAATCTGCTCTAAAAGTGCTGCTGCTTCTGAGCAAAGTCATTAATCTCGATTTTGTGATTTAGGTATTTTTCATATAATTCAAAAAAATCATATTAATTAAACATATCACCTACACTCAGACTTTAAAACTGTACCAGATTAACAGGGGGAGTGTAAAGATTGAAGCACACTTCCAGAGTTGTGAATCCTTTAGTCTTCATCTATGCTTTGGATTGGAAGCCAACATAGTCATAGTGTGAGAGTCAATGAACCATAAGATGATGATGCTGCTGGTGAGCGGCTGTCAGCCCATTTTCTATAGCTGCCCATATATTGCAAGTGGTTCAACACAGCTTACGTACATTTAGCTACACAAGTACTGTACACTTATTTGAGTAAAGAGCCAGAATCCTCCACCCCTGCTTATCACATACAGTACACTTGACCTAACAGCTGGGTGAGAGTGAGGATCCAGTCTGCCACAGCGACTCTTGGTGTCTACTTTTCTCTTACTTACTAGTGGGTGATTGATTTCTTGGTTGCCAGGTTTGCGTTAAATGCTGCGGGTTGCATCTGTGATTGGCTGCCATGGTGGTAGTAATAATAATAATCTTGGTTTGTATATGTGTATATATTGAGTTGGATTGGTCTTTGGCATAGGTTCTGTCATAGTGTTGTTACTATTGGTTGACAACCAATTAGTTTGATATTCATCCAGTAAAAATATTAAACATTTCTTAATTTCTAGTGATGCTTCTTTTTCTTTGCCTTATGTGGTTGTAGATGGAATATCATTGAGTGTGGGACTGTTGGCTGGACATTTAAAGATGTCACCTTAGACTCTGGGAAACTGTGGTTGATGTTATGGACTATATTCTGACATTTTAATTAAAACAGTTAAAAATTACATGAGGTTTTCATCACAAATCGGTTTAACCACTTTAAAAAATGGCCCGTTTTAGTGCTGAAACATTTAATCCATGAATGAAATTAATTTTAACAACCAGTTAATTACTTATTGGTCAATTTAAAATAAGACACTCATCCAGTAGTTCCAGCTTGTGAGGGCCTGCTGCTTTTCTGCTTCACATCATTGGAAACTGAACATTTTGGACAGCGGTTGGAAAAACAACAGTTTTTTTTATGTTTAGAAACCTCTTTTTGACACCACCTAGACTTAGAAACGAATTGATTGGTAGATTATTTGATAATGAAAATAATTATTCAACCAAACCTGGATTTAGGGTTTCATCTTTCCATTTAACATATTTTACTGTTATATTATGCTGAATAGCTTCCTAGTTTGAAGGAATCTTAAAAATGTTGTTAGAGACAGTTTGAGTCTGAGGTGATGGACATGTGAATGTATTCCACCTAATTTTTTATTGAAATCGATGATAAGCAGGATTCTTACAGCATTAAGAAAAGTGCACAATGTCACTTTGTCTGTAGTTTTTTTTAGTGTTACTGAATGGCCTTGTGGTGGTGTGATTGTTTTAATCGGAGAGATTAATTCATTCATTTCATTTGCTCTATAAAGTGTCACACCTTACTGTTTCCAGCAACAGGATTGGATCTCTTTGGATTTTCTGTCCAACCAGTAGTTCAAAACTTGTGTTTGTCATGTGCCTGAATTAGAAAATATTCTGGTTTTGCTTAAAAAACCTAAAGCCATTTAACAATATAAAACGGAGAAAAGCAGCTAAAACCTGAATGGATAACATTTTAGCTTAATAAGTTGTTTTCTTTTTAATATTGACCAATAGGTAAGGTAAGGTGTCTACAATCATTTTTTATCTGGATGTTGAAGTTATGAAGTAAAAAATGGTAAAACATGTACAGACTTATTGCTTTTAGGAATAATATGTTTGCAGGCCCAGATTAATAGTATTTCAGGCTTTCTGTGTGAAGTGCTGGAACCTCATTTTACAAATTTATGTATTTCATCTTATCTCTAACACTTTGTCTTTCTTGGAAAAAATATCATTGTTGGACCTTTTTAGTTTCATTATTAGTGAAAAAGGCAAGCAGCAGAAACAACTACATGACAGTAATTTGTAGGAAATGCATACCTCAGCATAAAACTTGTGATTTCCAGCCAGTCAGAAACAAGTCCAAAGGTTAAGTTTCACCCCATTTCATTTTATTAAGCAGTGTCAGAATGGTTTGCAATGAACAGTTTAACAAAAAAAACAAAACAAAGATAACTTAAGGAATGTAATGAACAGTATGGCAATACTGTTTGAGAGTAAATGTAAATGATTAAATGTTGAAATGTGCGACTCGCACATCTGGGACATGTAGTGTGCGCATAATCTTGTGCACCATATGTATGCTAGTGGAAGTGCCAGCAGTTGATGATGCTGCTGAGGATAATAAAACTTAATGAAGTAAAGCAAAACAGTACTGTACTGTGTGGCTGCATGTTGACAAGAGGTGGTAACTACAGGACAGCAACTAAAAAACATGTTACTAATGATTATGGAACAAGTCAGATGATTAAAGCCATCAAACCTATATATGTTAGCCCTCACAAATTAGCTTGTTATTCCTTGAGTATCTAGTAGAGTTGGAATTTAACCAAATAATTTCAGTTGGCTGTTTATTAGGTACACCTAGCTAAAACTAATGTAGTCTAAAACAACGGTTCTGCAATAAATCCTCCCTTTCTGGTTATTTTGGTAGCTGAAAACTGTCAAATCAGTTCAGTCTGAACAAAAACTGAGCAGTAACATCTTCATAAAGGGAAGATTTACTGCAGGACTGTTGTATTGGACGGACTTAATTTTAGCTTGTTGTACCTAATTGCCAACTAAGTGAATGTGGAAATACCCGGTGTCCTGTACTTTGCATGAGTTTATCAGGACAGGAAAATTATCAACAAAACTGAAAATAAAAAGCTGAAAAATAAACACTGAACCATGCTTTTTGCACAACCAGGCGGTTCAAAATTGAAATGGAGATCAAAACTTAGTGACCCATTCACTCTCTTATTCCTCTAATTGAATATAGTATTATTTCTTATCTTTGAAAAATAACATTAACAAGCATATAGAGTAAATCGATCTCTAATGTAAATATCGAAGTAACATATCAAAAATAAACATGGAAAATAAATCAAGGTTTGGCTCTTCCCTGCTACTGATAACTCAGTATATTAACAAAACATTCCACTGTACATAGACTCTAAAAGATATATCCTGTCACCTTGTTAATGATTTACATCCAAAAATAAAATTAAATCTTCAGTCAGTTTTTTTTTTCTTTTTTGGTCTTTGTAAAGTGATCTGTAAAAACATCCGAGGCTGGTGTGTGCTGCAGTGTTACAATGCAGCGTGACAAAGTCAGTACTTCACGCCTTAAGAACAGCAGAAATAAAACCAGGGTCCTGACAAAGCTAGGAAGGCTGTCAGTCTTTGACAGTGTCAGTGACTACCCCTCCATTTATATATAATTAAAAAAAAAAGCTGCGTTTCACCAGTTCTGGCTTCCTGTCACAGCAACATGGACTCCTGCATGGCAAATGCCTCCTGTGCCTGCCTGTAGTGTCGTCCTCCAAACAACTGGGGGAGCTGTTGCCTTGAGATGGGCTGCTGCTCCTGGAACTGTGTCCTATAGTGAAGCCGGCCATCTGGTTTGGGGGGAAACGTGAACTCCTGAACAGGAGACATTTGGGCTTGCTGGAAGCTAGGCGAGCGGGGCATCCCACCTGGGGACTGAGGGGGCAGCTCATCATTTGGTACCCACAGGTCCCTGTCTACAACCTGCCGAGGTCCACCTTGTGACAAGTAGTCCAGGTTTACCTGGTCTCTGGCAGGTAATGTAGGTTCACCACGGCCCTCAAACCGATAGTCCACCGGTGTGTAGGCCTGTGTGGTTAAGGTGAGCTGTTGCTGGTAGAGGGGGGTGGAGCTCCCCTGGCTTTTCAGCTGCAGGGAGTGCTCCAGGGGAAACCTGGCACCTTGGGGGTTGTAGGTGGAGCTGGGTGGCGGTTGCCTGCGGTAGGTAGCAAAGGAGTTGTTCATAAGGGCCTTCTCTGGGGAGAGGCAGTTTGGCTGCCGCCGGGTGGTGGCGTATGCCCGCTCACCGTATGCCACACTGGAGGGTGGAGGATATTGGGAGGACACAGCATACAGTCTGTCCTCTTCTCTGTGGTCCAAGCTCACGCTGTAGGTGGGATGGAGGATGGGGACTTCAGTAGTAGTTCTGCTTGGGGAATGCTGCCTGGGAGGGGTCTGGTACTGGCTCTGGCTGCCAGGATAGCTGGCCTGGACTCCCGCTGGGCTGTTGTGGGAAAATGGAGGGGGAAGAGAGTGTTTGGTCATCCTGGGCCCTGATCCACCAGTGATTGTGCTTCCTGCCAGGCTGGGTACTTGTCTGGGGCTGCCTTGATGGAGGGAAGAGACACTGAAAGGCGTGTCACTACGAGGGCTCCTTATTCTGGATGGAGGTCTCTCAAGCTCCAGGACCCCGAAATCCTGCTCTGGCAGCCCTGGTACATTGTCATACTGGGAGGCATTGGAGCCTCTGTCTGAGCCAGGGATGAAGCCCCTGGAGCGTGGCCGGTGATGAGGAGGAGCAGTGTTGTCTGGGCTGGAAGGGACTGGCGATGGCCCTCTGCTCAGCTGGTGCTCCCGGGCTGCTGCTTTGACAGCTTCCAGCTTTGTGTCGGAGGGTTTGACCCATCGCGGGGTGATGTGAGAGCTGGAGGATGTGATGGAGTGGTGGTTGGAGATGGCATGGCTCTGAGGCTTCAGACTATCGACAGTGGCGAGCGGTGGTGTGGGGGTGTTGAAAGAGGGTGGTGTTGCCTCCCTCTCAGGTGTAGGGGAGGCAGACTGCTTTTGGTGCTCATTAGGGATCTCCTCTGATCCTCTGGAGCGGACATCCCTCTTGTCAGTCTTATGGTGGCGGAACGGTTTCTCCAGCGAGTCCCGGCGTGACCGGCCGGGGGGCCGACTGTCCTGCTGCTGGTCTGGTACCGGACTTGGGTCCCTGGGAGGCTCTGCTGGCTCGGCATGGCTCTGACCATTGGCCACATGGTTCGCCACTGCTGCTCCCAGCTCAGGTGGAAGTTGCCCCAGAGGCTTCTTAGGAAATTCTTCCTCTTTACCTGCAGCATACAAAACAGCGAATGATGATGGCTGAAGACACTGTGTGGTGCTGATTCACATCAGATGATGGGTCACAATAGGGACATAGATTCATGCAACACCAATGTCATAAATTACATTCATGATGACACATAATCACATCTCCACAGGCAAAGAACAAAGGACAGAAACAAACAAATGGTGTGTGAGATTAATTTTGAGCTTGCTCCATTAGCAAGTGACACTCAATTTGGTTTTTGAAGTTATGAGTTTCAGTCCATTTCTTGTAACAGTATGTAGCTGCAGCAGTAGTCCTGGACTTGAAAGGTCATATACAAATGGTTCTTGATGAATGAACTTTGTTAAATGTAGTGTGATTGAAGGTACAATCAAACCACAGAAATGTCTTGCACCAAAGTTACTGTTCTACAACCAGAACATGTTACAAGTTGTGACTTTAATCCTGTAAATTGCTGCTCTGCTTCACCGAGAAGAAAAGTACAGTTGACAAGAACAGACAGTGATGATGAAGCTGGATGTGCTTGGGGACTGTAGGGGGAAGTGTAACCACCAGAGTCAGGCCAGGAGGCTGCAGCTGGAGGAGGATGTGCTGTGGGAGTGATCCAGGAAATGTTACTGGCAGGGGAAACTAACCGATGCTACCTCGCCAAGTTTTCCTCATTAGTAATGATCTGGAAAAAGTTAAAATCTTGTCAAATACTTTTGCCAGAAAATTTGCCAAATTTATTTGTTTAGTAACTGCTGTAATTTAAAAAAATCTTTCCTTCACCCAATTAATCCAGTTTTGTGTCTTCTTCCAGGAATTGACTGGAGACTTCCTGACCTTAATACAGGTAAGCACGTCACACTGCTTTGTTATACCAGGAGGGATGATAGTCTTCCTCTGAATCCTGCAGATGTTATTCTGAAAACCCATCTAAGTTAATTTCAGAAGCTACCCCATTAATTTTAGTTTTTAAAATTGTACAGAGATAAAGTTCTTTTCTGAAACAGGGAATGAGCAGCAAATTTTAATCTGAGCCACCTGACATGAAATCTGGATCAAATTTGTCACTGACAGCTACCTGTACATGTTCATTACTTCAGAAATTGAGTGTAGACGTTCCTGTAGTGAAACAAAACGTGTAGCTTTATTTTGTAGCTGGAAAGTATCAGAGTGGATTAACTAGTTTACTCCACTGTACCTTTAATACATCCACTAACTTAATCTTTTATTGGCTAAAAGGTGGTATTATATTAATTTTGACTGGCAAATTGTAGTTAAATACAAGAGAGCTGTGCAGCATGACATTAAAGTTTGATCAGTATTTATCACTTATGCAAATATGTCCTGAGATGTGTAATACAGTGGCGAGAGTAAGTGAACTTTTTAGCTGGTTTTCTAGAAAAATTGGTCAGAAAATATCACATGTAAAAAAAGTTTTTTGTCTTTATTGGACACATCCATTAAACGTGCTGGTGGAAAATGGAAGTGAACTGTTGGATTTGAAGCTCCTTTGGCAGCATTAACTGCAGACAAGCTTTTTCTGTAGCTGTGGTTCAGACCTGCATAACGTTCAGGAGGAATTCTGCACCGTTCTTCCTCACAGAGCTGCTTCATCTCAGACATATTCTCAGGATGTCTGGTGTGAACAGCTGTCTGAGGTCATTCCCCCAGTATCTCTGTTGGTTCCAGGACTGGGCTCTGACCGGGACACTCCACATGGCAGATTTTCCTGTTCTGAAGCTGTTCTGTTATAGATCGATTCACTGTCTTGCTGCGTCACCCAGCTCCCACTGAGCCTCGGCTGGTGGACAGCCACCCTAATAGTATCCTGTAGGATTCCTTGTTAAACCTGGGTATTCATTTTACCCCCATGATGAATGTTGTCCAGGCCCAGAGGCAGCAAAGCAGCCCCACATCGTGATGCTGCCTTCACTGTACTTTACTGTTTGAATCAGAGGTGGAAGGTAACTAAGGACATGTACTATACTTAAGTACAATTTTGAGCTGTCTCTACTGGAGTATTTTCATTTTCTGCTACGTTAACTACATTTTAGAGAAAAACACTGTACTTTTTACTCACATTTATTTGATAACTTCAGTTGCTTTTCAGAATGAGGTGAGTAAAACTAAACAGTATAATGATAAGGTTTTATTGATTTTGTAGTACTTGAGTAAGGGATCTGAATACTTATTCCACTGGCTGGGGTGATGTTTTCATGCTGGTATGCAGTTCCCTTTTATGTTGCGTGTCCTTCCCAAACAGTTCAATCTTAGTTTCATCAGTTCACAAAATAATAGTGTAGGATTATTTTAAAACAAGAAAATCTGCCACGTAGAGTGTCCCAGTCAGAGCCTAGTCATGGAACCAACAGAGATACTGGGGCAATGACCTCAGACAGCTGTTCACACTGGACATCCACAGCAGCTCTGTGAGGAAGAATGGTCCACGGATTCACTGACCTTTTCCACCAGCACTATGAAAGTTTAATGGGTGTGTGGCTGATTGTGTTTGTTCACAGTTGAAGTCAGAACTTTCCATACACCTTAGCCAAATACATTTAAAGTCAGTTTTTCACAACTCGACGTATAATCCCATAAACCTTCCCTGTTAGGTCAGTTAGTGTCACAACTTTATTTTCAGAGCGTGTATTAGTAGAGAAAAAGATTAATTTCAGGTTTTATTTCTGCCATCATGTTCCCAGTCAGACGTTTATGTACACTCCGTCGGTATTTGGCAGCATTGCCTTGAAACTGGCCAACTTGGGTCAAACATTTTGGGATGTTTTGTTTCGTCAGACCAGAGGACATTTGTCCAGAAAGTCAGATCTTTGTCCCCATGTGCAGCTGCTAACCAGAGTTGGGCCTTGGGACTTGTGGGCAGCGGCTTCCTCACTGAGCAGCCTTTCAGGTTATGTCGATATAGGACTTGTTTTTCTGTGGATACAGATACTTTGGTACCTGTTTCCTCCAGTGTCTTTACAGAGTCCTTTTCTGTTCTTCTGGGATTGATTTGTACTCTTCAGACCAAAGTACATTCATCTCTACGATGCCGTGGTGTCCCATGGTGGGACTGCTACTTGCGTAGTAGTGTTTGTACAGATGAATGTAGTACCTTCAGGTGTTTGGAAACTGCTCCCAAGGGTGAACCAGACTAGTGGAGGTTCACAATCTCTTTCCTGGGGTCATGGCTGATTTCTTTTGAGTTTTCCATGATGTCAAACACGGAGAGTATGTTTGAAGGTCGGCCTTAAAATGCATCCACAGGTGCACCTCCTATCAAATGATGTCAGTTAGCCTGTCAGAAGCTTTTAAAGCCATCACTTCGTTTTCTGGAATTTTCCAAGCTGTTTAAAGGCTCAGTCCACTGAGTGCATGTAAACTTCTGACCCTCTGGAATTGTGACATAGTGATAAGTGAATTAGTCTATCTGTAAACAACTGTTGGAAAAAGTACTTGTGTCATGCACACGTCCTAACCAACTTGCCAAAGCCAGAGTTTGTTAACATGACATCTGTGGAGTGGTTAAAAAAGTCAGTTTAATTGACTTCAGCCTAAATGCATGTAAACGTCTGACTTCAGTTGTATCTTTGTGACTTGGATAAAGATCAGACTCATTTTATGACCAGTTCATGTAGATAACTGTGTCATTTCAAATGGTTCACTTACTTTTTCTGGCCACTGTATATACTTTTCCTAAATGGCATAGTGCACTTACAGAATTAATTTACAAAAAAGATGATGTTGCCATGGTGTAATAGAAATGTATTTCAAACTCAGGTTGTGTATAGGACACTGTTGGTGGATGTTGGCAGGTGTTTTTATTTCACGGAGATTGAAAGAGGAAGTGATTTGAGTACAAGTGTTTTACAGCATCAGGGGTGTATCTTTAAAGGGCCCCTGGTGCCTTTCCTTGTTTTTTAAATGTATCCACAATGTTACAACAGTGAATTATCACCTTAGATGTGACCTAAAAGCTCAAAAGTATGTTGTAGTACTTCTATGCAGAAGTAACTTGGTTTATACGTCTTGCATACTCTTACGAGACTTTTTTTCTACAAGAATTAAGTATTAGGTGATAGTTTAAGGATCTCCTGGAATGGACATAAATCCAGGACATAGCACATTCATGTGATCTTGCCTGACATCCACTGATGTCCCCATCATATTGGCAAAATGTTATACTGCCTTGTTTGTTATGTATGTTTTCAGTAAAGCTTATTAAAAAATCCACCATTAACCAGCAGATCATTGTTAAAACAAGTTGAACAAAAGCCTTCAGTGGTGGAAGAGTGGCTCATTATCTTGTCAGCAGACAGGGAAGTGAACAGAAAGCTACTGCTGCAGTTGTGTGGGCTCTAGAATAAAGAAAAGTTCTGGTTCCTTCTTCAGCTATGCTATTAAAGGATGAGGTCGGTTATTTCCTATATTATTGTTATTTTTTAACAATTCCCACACAGAGACTAAAACCAACAATGATTTGCTCATCCATCTGTGACATAGATCTCCGTTGTTATTCAAAAACAGTTAACATCAGTGAAACACTGTTGCACTGGGTGACACATTTGTTCATTACCAAACCTGCATATTTGTTAAAAATGTTGCTCCCAATGACTACAGCTTCTTAAAGCATCTGAGGCAAGAGTCAGCAGTGCATGAACGAGATCTCTGTGAAAGCACGAGGAGCTGGTGGACTGTCATCAAATCACGAAGGTCTCGCACGTGTGCAGTTGAGTCTTGCTACTTCAGATGCTGTAAAAAAGTTGTGGTTGTTTGGAGCAATATTTTAACAAACACACTGGTCTGGTATAGGGCTGCATGATTAATTATTTTGTGAGCGTGATGTAGATCCCCGTGCGATCTTGGTCTCACGTGACAATGATTCTGCCATGTTTGCATTAGCATGGAGATGCCACGCACTCCCTTTTCCTCACTAAGCTGTGTTAACCAATAACCACAAAGTGACTTAATTCTGCCCCAACTGTTATTCTACACTAGGTTTACAGGGCAGGAAAAATAGTTGCAGCTTGTCACATGATGTAACGCAATCCTGTTATTGGTTAACGCAGCTTAGTGAGGAAAAGGGAGCGCTTAGTTTGATGCACGGCATCTCCCTGTTAATGCAGACGCGGCAAAATTATTGTAATGTGAGACCGAGATCACACAGGGATCTAAATCACACAAAGCCGTAGTCCGGTGTTTGGTAATGCAGAAACATGTCACCCAGCGCAGTGGTGTGTTTCACTGGTGTGTTTTTGCATGACAACAGAGGTCTGTGGCACAGAATAAGATAATCCAGGCTGGAGACTGACACACATTAACCAAGAGTAGAGTCAATGCATTGTTGGCTTAGTCTCTGTAAAGCCTAAATAACTAAACAGAAAGGTGACACAGGAACCTGAAAAAGATATGAAGACAGATCAAGTCAGCTTATATTATTATTTCAGAATATGCTGCAGGTTTAAATAGCCAATACATAGATCAGCTGGTGAATTAGAAACAGTATCATACAGTGCCTTTAGTTGGCCACCAGAGGGCACACTCACCTGAAACACCTTTATGGACAGAGGTGACATTACACAATTGCAACCACTTTGAAGTCCAAACATGGGAGCAAAGGGGCAAAAACTGAAAATACAAAGACAAGTGCAGAGCGAACGACTGCAAGGCTCCAAAGAAGCAACACAGCTGAACTTAGTTAAGTACACGTGGGGGAAGGCCAGTTTTTAAAAGGAAAAATTTGAGTGCTGTTGGACAGACAGACAGACTGAGGGACAAATGGACAGAGACATGACCAGTCAGGATAGCCCACCAGTTACTGTTGTAGGAGGGAATTTGGCCCCCACTCACAGCCACACTTTTGTTGTTGCTGGCTAACATTGTTTAAAAGAAAAAGGAGAGAAGGGAGATTAGTGAGGAGACAGAGAAACACGTGACTACTAGGAGCTAAGGCAGCCAGGTCTGACTGTGCTGTGTGTTTTGACACGTGAACAGGTGTATCTTTGTGGTGTGGGTACATAAGTATTGTTTTAAGAGCAACTTGAAAAAGCCTGAACCTGACCTTTAATCAGTTCTGTGTAAATTGTCACAACATACATAATAGCTTAGATCAGGTTTGGAATAAAACGCAATGAAGAACAGAGTAGATGTCTCTCTCTACGTCACCACTGATGCAAAAATGTCCCTGTGTGTATTACAGCTTGTTCTACTGTGTCAGAGTGCACTGTGCTGAACAGTACCTGGTGCAGGCAGCTCAAGCTTCGCCCTCCTGAGCTCCACCATGGACGCCTGTAGCTGCTCAATCACATAGTCATCCTCCAAGAAGAAATCTTTGGACAAAGTCACTTGCAGAAACTCCACTAGCTCCTCCATGGAAAGCTTCATGAGGTGCTCTGCAATCACACACACACAGGTCAGACACCGTCGGTCTTTGAGAGGCGGACACCAGTGTGTAGTGTAAACAGTCTTACTCTTGTGCAGCTTGAGGATGGTGTAGGACATGGCAGGCAGCACTCTTTCACCCTCCAAGATGTAGATGTCCCAAATTCTGAGTGTGAGGGTGAAGGGAGTCTGGACACAAACACAATAAAAGGTTACACACTCTTAATGATCCCCCTGTTGGGCTCACACTGACCATCTGTCTGCCTATGTATGTGGTTCTGTTATAGTCAGCAAATCCCATGAGAAAGACCAAAGCCAACACTGTGTGTGTCTGGGATCCAGTGACTTGTATTAGTAAGGCTTAGTCATTTTCTTTAACAGTTGGGCCCTGTAGCTTTTAGCCAGTGTCACTCAAATAGAAAGAAATAGAGCCTTTACTGGGGATTTCTTGGCGGCTTGATTCTTAGTTGGTTTTTCTGTTTTCATGGTATTTCACCATCCTCCTCTCAAGGATAACTTTGGCTTTTTGAACCTGCCATATTTACAGCGACACCATAGCTAGTGCTAATTTGGCTATCACTGACTGAGTTGTAGAGATTCGGGGAAACGAAAAGTCATGTTAACCTGTGTCACCAGGGCAACAGGTTAGCCTTTGAGCTCAAAATAATTTTTCACCTTGATTTCTGAGTCCAAAGGAAAGCGGATACAGGATCCAGCCATCTGGGGGTAGCCGCTACAGCTAACTGCATAGGACTATACATCTGGGTCAACTTGATGAGCAGATGACCGTAACATGAATCTGCTTTCCTTGTGACTCAAAGGTCATGAAAAGTGAGGCTAACTGGTTGCCATGGTGATACCACCTTTTGTTTCCCCGAATCCGTACAACAGGAATCAGTGATGGCAAAAGAGGCACAAGCTATAGAGTCACCATAATCACTTTTAGGGGAAACAGAGCAGGTTCTAAGTTATAACCTAAGTTATAAACAGTCATCTGATTTAGTGCATATTTGAACTAGGTTTCTTCCTGATTGCAGTTGGACAGAGAAAAAGATTCCAGTGTGGTACATGAGGGGAAAGCTATACATGAACTATGTCTGGCTATGGGAATCATAAACAAAGAAATGTTTACAGCACTTCTGTTACAGTTGAATGTCTTGCTGTTAATGTACTCACTCTGTCCAGAAAGCACTGGAAGAACCACTTCATGGTGTAGAGGCTGGTAAACACCTCTTGGTTGTCCTGCAGCAGAAAAGTGAGAGTTAGTGCAGAGAGTATGAGAAGTGACTGTTGGCACAACGGAGGGTGCTTGTTATTTAGTCCCTGAGTTTGTTGTGTGTGTCTCACCAGGTGTTGTTTCAGTTTGGGCATCATCTTCTTGAGGATGCGTTCGTGGTGCTCCTGGAAACGCATCAGCTTTGGGAAGCCAGGGACAAAAAACCCTAAAGGTGAGGCCAGGACAGATGATCATGTTGAATTAGATCAGACATTTACTCTCTCTCTGTCTGTTGTTAACACAACTGTGCATGTTTTCCAGCTGAGTTTCAAGATGGCAGCAGCTGGAACAGCTCTGTGGCCTAAAGGTCCATGCCTTCTCCGTAGCTGGTTGAGAGACAGAGAGACACAAGCGCTGTCTCTTGTGGAAGTACATCCCTGCCAAAACGTATGATTGCAGACAAACCACATTTCACTTGCTAATCAGTTTCAACTCAGCATTCGAGAGGACACAGACAAAGATGTATAAGAGCAGACTGTGATTTTTGTGCCCTCAAACGTTTTGGCGTGGATGTTCTTACTCTGTCTGTCCCCATGTCTCTATGGGAAGTACATCCACACAAAAGCCACATTTCGAGCACTACTATTTTGCAGCTCAGCACAGATTTGTAAGAGCGAGGCAGGGGAGGGCAGAATCGTGAGCGTCACATGATTTGAGAGAACAGCACAGATCCTCCCTCGCGCTCAAATGGGATTCTCCTCTTAAATACTGTACGTTTTTTGCATGCTCCCAAATGCTGAGTTGCAAATTGAGTAGCACTCACTGGTTTGTGCGCCCTCAAACGTTTTGGCAGTGATTTACTTAGTTACTCTGTCCCTGTCCTGCTCTCTCTAATGGAAGCACATCCCTGCCAAAACTCTGGAGGATGCACAAACCACATTTTGAGCAGTACTCAATTTCAGTTCGGCTTTTGAGTGTGTGCAGGAAAGAGGCAAGAGGAGAATCATGATTCCGTCATCCCTTGCTCTCAAATGCTGAGCTACAAACAGAGTAGTAACTGTGTGTTACCGTGCATGGCATGCTTGTGCCCCGACAGTAGTTTGACCAGCGCCCAGAAAGCATCCTCTTCATTCATGTAGATGAGCAGCAGCGCTGTGATCTGGCTCATGCCCTGGCAGTAGCCCACCTCCTGCAAACACACATCATGCATTGCTTTAGTTTGTAATCATCAAGTTACTGTACGTTGTTGGACCAGACTTTGTTGGTTGTCTTCAAATTAAAGCTTTTTAGCTCTCATTAGTTTGGACTTTGTGGAAAAGTGTTTCTTAGACTACGTTCACACTGCACGTCTTAATGCTCAGATCACATTTTTTGCCGAAATCCGATTTTCTTGCGCTGTTGTTCACACTGTCATTTAAATGCGACTGCCATCTGTCTCGTGTGTGAACGGTATACGGCCCTGAAGTGACCCACATGCGCAGAAGAGGACGTGACGTCAGACGCAGCGTACTGTGTTTGCGAAAATAAAAATGGCTCATGATAGCATGTGCGTAGCGATGTACCAGTTAATGTGCAATCGAAATAAAGAAATAATAAGAATATCAAGAAGAAGAAGGAGAGCATAAATATTGCTTATGGCCTCGCCTTCTCCAGCGCAGCATTGTGACGTCTGTTGCATTTCAATGACATAAAAATCGCATGAAATGCGACCTGGCCATTCAGACTGAAGTTGCATTGCAAAACATCGGATATGTATCCGATTTAGGACCACATATGAAAGTGGCCCGGGCCTGATTTGAAAAAATCAGATTTGTGCTGTTCACAATGTCATTAGGAAATCGGATATGGGTCACGTTTGGGCAAAAAGATCGGATTTGAGCCACTTCAGCCTGCAGTGTGAACGTGGCCTTAATGTTTTGTGTAACATTTGTGAGAGATCAGTAATGTGTGATAAAAAACAAATCTGCAGAAATGATTTGTGTCCTTTTTGATTAATGTGCTATCTGAACGCATCATTTTGGAAATTGAAAAACCGCACATGAACACACGTTGCAACCCAAAGACAGTAAACACCGTTTTTCTTGAATGACTCACCGTGTTGTACATGGAGTAGGCTGTGAGGACATGGAAGAGAGCCTGCTGCCTGGGAACACGAGCAGAAACCAGAATTAACACAAAACCCTGCAAACAAGCCACAGCCATTCATAGTTTTGGTTCTGTGTGCTAAGAGATTTACCTTCCAGTTAAACTGCATGTCAGCTTTTCAGGTGTAAAATAAAAACATCCTCCTTAAACATGAAAGTACTGGAAGGGCGGAGCAAGTTTCTTGATTTCAGACCAGTAGTGTTAAAAAATGTAATAGTTTTAAAACGGGTGTTCTTCCTGTGTAAGCCTGCAGTGCTGCGTTTCCACTATGGAACCCCGTACTTCTCTTAATCATCACCAAGCACAGAAGAAGAAAAACTACTGTATGACAAGTACTTTGTCAAGCTCCTGAGGTCTGGTAAAACCCAAAACATGGTTAGAAAAGGGTAAAGACACTATGGGGAACCAGCAAAAC